ATATATATATATATATATATATATATATATATATATATATATATATATATATATATATATAAGCCCTGTTAGTTAACTTTTATCTTAATAAAGAGACCAGATAAATAGGAAGCTGTATGTAGTCCAACATGGCGTACATTACAGTGATCTTCGGCCTTGGACCTCATGAACCGAAGGAGTGTGTGTTACATTTTGTGAGTGTATTTCCTAGATTTTTCGCTCATCTTCTCCCTTCCGCCTTGCAGCGGCTCTGGTTCCTTTTGCAGTCACTCGGCGGATAGGTCACCCGTATCAGAACCGGACGCCTCCGAAGCGGAAAAAGCCCAGAACCTCCTTTTCCAGAGTCCAGATCTGCGAGCTGGAGAAGCGCTTCCACAGGCAGAAGTATCTGGCCAGCGCCGAGCGGGCAGCTCTGGCCAAGAGCCTGAAGATGACCGACGCGCAGGTCAAAACCTGGTTTCAGAACCGCAGAACCAAGTGGAGGTTGGTAGGAAACTTGAGACAGTATTGGAGTTGCTCTGTTCCGCCCCTGAGCTTGTGTATAACTATAATATTTACTTGTTTTTCCTTTTTAAAAAAATAAAAAATAAAAAAATACTAGCTTACTTTTATTTATTTCATGCAAACATAACTTTTCAAGAAATATTTATAACGGTTTAAGAAAGTTCTATCTATCTATCTATCTATCTATCTATCTATCTATCTATCTATCTATCTATCTATCTATCTATCTATCTATCAATGAAACTTTGCAAACTTAGCTTAAGACAGATCCTTGGATTCCTTAAGTCTCGGGTTATCAAACTGAAATTCATGGCCGAAGCATTCTGTCTTTCTCTGTGATCTTTAACGCCATTTGTTTCCCGTTGCAATGACTTCCTAAATGTTTTATTCCTCCTGTCGTCTTTCAGGAGACAAACAGCCGAGGAGAGGGAGGCGGAGCGTCAGCAGGCCAATCGCCTGATCCTACAGCTGCAGCAGTCCGCCCTCCAGAAGTCCCTGAGCGAATCCGCGGTGTCGGATCCGCTGTGCGCCCATAACTCCTCCCTGTACGCTCTGCAGAACCTCCAGCCGTGGGCCGAGGACAGGGAATAGGGACAGATAAATTAAATGAAACCACTGGGACTTACTTTGATTCATGCTGTATGGAGGAACAAATGTGACTTGAGACTGAAACATGGGTCCCGTCTATTTAAAGCAGAGGATTGTAGAACGGGACATGAAATTCTGGTGAGTGACGCGTACTCTGAAGCAGAAACTGTGGATTATTTTTGTTTTCCACCTTGGGTGGAAAAAAAAAATCTGAACTTTGCAAAACAAATCTGAAACAGACTGATAAAAAAAAAGAAATCTGCCACTCTATTTGTTCTCATATGCTTGCACTTATTCTGTTCATTGGAATAAGACGGGGAGGAAAATGTCTTGTATGCAGTTTGTATGAGGGATGTAATTAATGTCACACTGTAAAACATGAGATTATATTGTTTTATGAGTGTGCTTTCTCTTAACACCCATTTCTGGGTGCTTTGGCTCTGCAAAACGTGTCAAAGCAGAGACAAAAGCTGATATTGTTTCTCATCATTTTTTCATTTTTGTGGTGCTTTTTCAGGTCCCATTCATAAAGTACTTCTTTTTAATGCACTCTCACAGACCTGCACATGTAAACCTGCACATAGAAAAAGCAACACTTGGGCCAAACAAAAAGATGCCAAAAATATTGCATTTTGGGTGGAAAACGTGGTTTGAGCTGTAATAAAACGAAGACAGGCTTCAGGAAATAGGAAAATCTCACCCATGCTGTAAGTTAAGATAATAAAGGGAGTGATGCATGCTCAGAGATGTTGCTAAAGTCTTTTCATATGCACATTATTATGTTTTTGAATCGAGCCAGAAAACTCTGTTTTGTACTTTTACTGTACATGTGTAAATAATATTATAAACTGTTGTTGTGATCTTTTGTTTTTCATTCTCGCTCCTTTTCTGGTGTACCAAAAAAAAAAAAAAAGTTTTTCAGGTTTTTAACTCTGTTATTATAATAAGGTAAAGAAGGTGGGGGAAGCAAGCATGTGGAGTAGAATTGTAAAACATGACATGAGTTGGTGTTTTTGTTTCTTTTTTCCCTGAAAAGTTTATTGATAAATATGACTTTATACAATATTTCAATACACACATCATTTGAAACGACAGTTTAAATTGTTTATATGCCTGTCTACCTCTCTGTCGTCTTGTCTGGATTTCTGCAACTCGTTTAGATGACTTTACTGGCTTAGCACAGTGAGTAAAAGCGAAATATTTAAATCTTTCATTCCGGCTCAATCATCAAAAATGATGGCTCTTGTTTGAAAAATGGCTTCCGTTCCTCCAGAGTCAGTGTTGAGGTCTAGCTCTCGGATCTTCGCCTTCCTCCGTCATCCTTCCTCCCCTCACAGTGAAATGTTGGTCACTCTGAGTCAGTGTTTGGTCTTTGAACAAGACAGAGCCGAAGATGAGACTTTTTCCCCCGTCTCTCTAAAACATGCTTCTTTTCACTGAAGGATCCTCCACATGAACTGATTTATGCACATGCCCGAAATTAAACAGCTTTGCAAGCAGGACGTTGACGTTATGGCTCCACAAACAAACACACGAGAACATGCATATGTGTTGCTCTCTATCTGGAAGCCGACTGATGAGCTCTTTATTCAGCAGATATCGAGACAGGCAGCATAATTACAGAGTTATAGCCACTCAGACAACAGGACAGACAGGTATCAGAGTAAGAAACACAGGCAGACATCAGACAGTAAGAAAAAGCCACAAAAACAACAATTAAATACCTATAACACAGCTTAGTTGTTACAACGCTCAGGAACTGACTTATGATGTCTTAACGGACACTTAGTTCAACGTTGAAAAGTTATGTGTTCTCAAATGTAAGCATTAAGACAAAATATTCTGCCCATAACTTTGCAAATACACACTAAATACAGTATAATGTGGGCATCTGCCCTACATGCTTCATAAACTTGCTCATTTTTGCTGCACTGTTACGTGAAATAATGCTGTAAACAGATCGTTGCTTAGGATAGTTCACCTGTAAGCTGCTTTTTAGTTCAAAACAAAGAGACAGACTGGCCCAAAGGAGAGACTGACTGCATATTTACACAGTGGCAAAATAATAATAATAAGAAATAAAAAAACAACCAAATACAGTCCAAGCTGAAAGTAAGCCACAACAGTGACAAATGAAGGAGACAGAGACAAGGTAAGACACTCAGAGAATGACCAAATGAATCTGAAAGATGATTTCAAAAACCAGTGAAGGTTTGTTCTCCAGAGATACATTTCGAAATCCAAAGTGGCAGTTAAAGCTCCTCGTTTCGTTTCTCTCTGAGGTTTTGATGTTTTTTGCTCCTGCAAACTCTTGTCCGTCTTTCATTCTCCTTATCCTTTTTCTTCCCTCGTCTCTTGCTCTGTGCTTTCATCTGTTGCTCCGCACCCCTCCTGGCATTTGCCATTTAGATGACATTTTCAAAAAGCTGCAGAGACCTCATGATGTTTTCATCCTGTGCAAAGAAAAAAAAAAAACGAAATTAAAAAGCTGACTTCAGATAAGAGAGCCATCCAACAATCACCCTTTAATTCATTTTACAAGCCACTAGGGGGCGGTATAAGGTAATAAAAGCTTAATGATCTCTCTCAACACAAACACACGGATATGGAAGATAGCAAAGACCATAATTAATAGCCACTATAGTGAGACTTGCAAAGGTGGGAGGCCTTTAATGAATGGTGAGTAAAGTTAGTTTTATTGGAGGGATAATATTGTGCAGATATTTCAGATGGTCAAATCCGGAGAAAGTGGTTTTGGCTTTTAGAATTAAAAACAAAACTACAACTCAGAGTTTTAATATTTTTTATAAATAATAATTTCAAAGACTGTGTACATCTCCTCTCAGTTGAGATACTTTGAAAGATGAACTCTACCTCTTGACAAGAAAGGATGAATTCATCAAGCGTGACGACACCGTCTCGATTTTTGTCCATTTTCTGTGGACAGATGAATGCACGTTGAAGACAGTCACAAATATATTGTGCCTTTACCAAAATAATAATTGAAATGTCCACATTTTGTCACATTAGGATATTTTATTTGGATTTTATGTGTTAGATCATGAGCACAACAACTGTGAAGTGGAAAGAAAATATGTAAGGATTTGGATATGTTTTTACAGTTCCATCTGAAAAGTGTGGCACGTTTTCCAAATAATGCACCTTGTTGCACCATGTTTTTGCAGATTCTTTGAAAACAATGGATTGGAGTATCTATGAGCATATATTTGCAACTTTTGTTGCAAATTTATTGTTGCAAATTCTTAATATTTATCGAGCTCTGGACTTTGACTTGGCCATTCTAGCACATTCTGGGTGACAGGGAGAATTAATTTTGTGTCAAACAGTTCAGATTTAGCCACAGTCTCTTAACTGGACTTTGGTCTGGACTTTGACTGAGCCATTCTAAAATACTTTGATTGAAATCCTAAATTCAGAGAACTCCAGAGTTATAACTAGGCCCTTCAGCACTTGATCACTTCATAATTATGTACTAATTTGTGTTAGTCTCCCACATAAAATCCCAGAAAAGTTTGTGGTTTTAACTCAACATAACATTAGAAAAAGTGTAAATTCTTAACGCTTTTGCAAGATGCTGCATGTCTAAAATACTTCTGCATTATGACACAAAATTGTGGGATTAGCATTACGTTTAGTTTGGACATTTCCATAAAAATCATACTTTTCCTAACTTCTAAATAGTTTTCTGTTAGTGCCACTCTAATGCGTGTTCGTGTTTTAGCAGATTTAGATGTAGAAGTCACAATGTTCATACTTGGAAGAAGGCATCCACATGTTGTTTGGGTGCATCAGTTTTCAGAACAGGGTATGTGTATTTCCCCATCATGTCATATATTGCTCGGACGATGTCTGTCATCTCCTGTGAAATAAACAACAAAAGACGAGACTTGAAGAGGTCTGAGGTGTAAAAGCCCACTGCTGAAATAAAAAGATGAAAAAGAAAAAAAAAATATCGCAAACCTCTTTGTTGATGTATCCATCTCTGTTGATGTCGTAGAGATTAAAGGTCCACTGGAGTTTCTCTGTGACAGAACCTCTTAGGAGGATGGATAAAGCTGTAACAAAGTCCTGGGAAAAAGCAGACACAAAGATGAAATCACAAACTGGAAAACCGCAGAGAGGGGGGGGATATCTTCACATGGTGACAACCAGACAGAGCTGTGAAGAGGAATAAACCAAACCTCAAACTTTATTGATCCTGTGTTGCCGGTGTCAAAAGCATTGAACAGGTAGTGGGCGTAAGTGCTGGCATCTGGAGCAACAGATAAAAAGCGGCAGTGAGTAAACTGAATTGAATCAACACAGAAGCAAAGGTGACACACAGTCCTCCCTCACCCCCATGTGGAAAAAACTGAGAGTAGATTTGCTTGAAGGTTTCCTCGTTAACAACTCCACTGGGACATTCCTGGAAGGAGAGAGGGACAGAAAAACGAACAGAGGTGAGTGGGATTTGCCTGAAACAAGAATCAGACATGAAGACAAACTGGATGTAATGTTACTGTGTTATTAATATATTTACATATATTAAGAAGGAAACAATAGTTGAATAACTTGAGTAAGTTTTCACAACATAAGACAAATTAATGTTCTGATACAGACATTTTTTATTGTTGTGTTGCGTAGCATTAGCTTAATGTGCACCTCTTTCTTCACCTTTGTTAGCTTGTTAAAAAATGACCTAATATGATACTTTTCAGGATTGAAGATGTCATATTTAGAGACGATAAACAGTCTGACGTCTTGTTTTCATTGCACTCGTAAAGTCTCTCACGTTCTTGAAGCCCCGGTAGAGAACCTGGAGCTCTCTTTTACTGAAGTTGGTTTGAGCTTGGAGCTGGTCGAGGCCCTCTGGCCGATGGCACACGATGGTCATCTCCAAGTCATCGTCGGCTTTGTCTGAAAAGAAAAAAAAAGAGGAACACTTCCAGTTAACATTACAACTGTTTCTTTTTTAAACTGTTTTCAGGGGGAGGGGGGGAAAGAAAGCAAAATTGCATCTACCTGCATTTATTGCATTTAGTCTTTATAAAGATTTTATTTAGTTGGGAATAAATAACAAGTCTTGGGCTGCCACCTTATCGTGGTGGAGGGGTTTGAGTGTCCCAATGATCCTAGGAGCTATGCTGTCTGGGGCTTTATGCCCCTGGTAGGGTCACCCAAGGCAGACAGGTCCTAGGTGAGGAACCAGACAAAGGGCAGCCTGAAGACCCTTATGATGGAAAATATCTTTGGATCTGGCGTTCCCTCGCCCGAACGCGGGTCACCAGGGCCCCACTCTGGAGCCAGGCCTGGAGGTGGGGCACTATGGCGAGCACCTGGTGGCCGGGCTTTTACCCACGGAGCCCGGCCGGGCTCAGCCCGAAGAGGAGACGTGGGTCCCCCTTCCAATGGGCCCCCCACCTGTCGGAGGGCCAAAGGGGTTGGGTGCCTTGTGTTATGGGCGGCAGCCGAGGGAGGGGACCCTGGCGGTCTGACCCCCGGCTTCAGAAGCTGGCTCTTGGGACGTGGAATGTCACCTCTCTGGTGGGGAAGGAACCGGAGCTGGTGTGCGAGGCTGAGAGGTTCCGGCTAGAAATAGTCGGCCTCACCTCAACGCATGGCTCTGGTTCTGGAACCAGTCTCCTTGAGAGGGGCTGGACGTACTTCCACTCTGGAGTCTCCCACGGTGAGAGGCGCCGGGCAGGAGTGGGCATACTTGTTGCCCCCCATCTTGGGGCCTGTACGTTGGGGTTTACCCCGGTGAATGAGAGGGTAGCCTCCCTCCGCCTACGGTTGGGGGGACGGGTTCTGTCTGTTGTCTGTGCTTACGGGCCGAACAGCAGATCAGATTACACACCCTTCTTGGAGTCCTTAGAGGGGGTACTGGAGGGTGCTCCTCCTGGGGACTCCCTTGTTCTACTGGGGGACTTCAAAGCTCACATGGGCAATGACAGTGGGACCTGGAGGGGCGTGGTTGGGAGGAACGGCCTCCCTGATCTGAACTCGAGTGGTGTTCTGTTGTTGGACTTCTGTGCTCGTCACGGATTGTCCATCACGAACACCAAGTTCAACCATAAGGGTGTCCATATGTGCACTTGGCACCAGGACACCCTAGGCCGCAGTTCGATGATCGATTTTGTGATCGTTTCATCGGATCTGCGGCCGTATGTCTTGGACACTCGGGTGAAGAGAGGTGCGGAGCTGTCCACTGACCACTACCTAGTGGTGAGTTGGCTCCGGTGGTGGGGGAGGAAGCCGGTCAGACCTGGCAGGCTCAAACGTGTAGTGAGGGTCTGCTGGGAACGTCTGGCGGAGTCCCCTGTGAGACGGAGCTTTAACTCCCATCTCCCGCAGAACTTCGAACACGTTCCGGGGGAGGTGGGGGACATTGAGTCTGAATGGACCATGTTCCGTACCTCGATTGCCGAGGCGGCTTATCGGAGCTGCGGCCGCAAGGTTGCTGGTGCCTGTCGCGGCGGCAATCCTCGAACCCGTTGGTGGACACCTTCGGTGAGGGATGCTGTCAAGCTGAAGAAGG